AGCAATAGGGTGTGTCTGATTTTACCTCTGGCCCCACCTCCTTTACCTCTGGCCCCTCCCACCACTGGCACACGCCCCCAATAGATTATCTGCGGAGGGAATGCTGTTTTCAGCAGATTCCCAGCCTCTAATGGAAACATTTTATTTATAGCAGGGAAGGTTAATTGTACCTCTGGGGTCATCTTTTCCATTCTGCAAATCAATCAGTAATGTGGGTTTTCCAGAAAATTATTAACTGGAAAATTTCCCTACACAAATTGGGCCACGAAGCTGGAGAGAAAGCTGTTGCCCACTGCCCCCACTCCTCCCCAATGTCTTTCTTGCAGGTTTCTCACAAGCATCTGGCTGGCTACTGTGAGAATTGAACTAAGCTATTTGCACAGAGGAACTTGAATTGGGGGAAATTTCAGTTTGCATGGGGAAAATTTTCTGATGCCCTGGTAGGTGATTTAATTTGGTATGCTTATTTTACATGTATTTAGTAAACAAAGTTAAAAAAAATTAACAAACAAATAAACAATTTTGAATAAACAAAAATACTCCCTGGAAAAGACCCTGATGTTGGGAAAGATGGAGGGCACAAGGAGACGGGGATGGCAGAGGACGAGATGGTGGGACAGTGTTCTCGAAGCTACCAGCATGAGTTTGACCAAACTGCGGGAGGCAGTGGAAGACAGGAGGGCCTGGCGTGCTCTGGTCCAGGGGGTCACAAAGAGTCAGACACGACTAAACAACAACAACAACAACGATGATGTTGTGTTTGCAAATGACATCCATTCACTGTCACTAATGAACTTAGGAAGTGGATTTTTTTCCATGGAAATATTAAGTAATGGAAAAATTTCCACGTTAAAAAACCTTCCACCCCACATCACTGAAAGCATCTAAATGTTACTTTAGGATGGCTGGCTTATACAACAGTGACAGATTCAAAACAAGGTGCTGGTGAGTGGTAAGACCCAACCAACTAGACTTGGGGCATGTAAGAGTAAGTACTTCTTTCCACAGCACACAGAATTCACTACCACAAATGTACAAATAGTCAACAACTTGGATAGCTTTAAATGGTGAAAGATTTATACGATCTGAGGAAAAACCAGAGTATAAATGAGAAGTACATCAGCTCCTGGTCAAAAACCAATGGCACATAAGGCCTCTTCAATAGGTCTTTCATCATCTTTTCTTACCCACCTGGGTATGACACTGCCCTCAAAACTGTGAAGCACGAGGTTATGGGATATTGCCTTTAGTGATTTATGATCTTGCTCACATGTGACCTGTGGCCCATCTGTGTCAGGAATCCAATACCTACAGGGTTTTCTGTTATCTCCCTACCTTAAGAATTTGACTGTATCTAATTACTACCATCTGTTTTCTAAAGCCAGATTAAATGTTTTCCCTTCTGAAATGCTGAGGGGAAGATCGGCTGGTGTCCATGCCAAGCTAGGCTGTGCCCACGTTCCCAGGATATTAAATGTATGGAACACATTTTATTGCATTGTAGTTGAGACAGCATCTAATCAATCCAATACTAAAAGAACAACCTGGAATGTCAAGGTTCTCCTTGAGGATAAGTTTGATACTATTACATTGTCTGTAGCAAAATCCTCTCAGAGGCAGCAAAAAACAGAAATCGGTATCTACAGGCTAAAGCTCCTCTATTGGCTAGCAAGGCCGATTTTACAGCTTAATAACTGTTGATATTTACTACTGTTGTACTATTTTGGGTCCATGGACTGTGTATGTTCTTTAAATGGGGATAAGACTACTAATCGTGTGGCGATATGCTTGCTCCAAAGTCAAAGGCAGCATGCCTTTGAACACTAGTTGTTGGTGAACAACAGCAACCACTTTGAGATGTTTGAAAATCAAGTAGTATATAAATTTTATGGAATAAATAAATAAATGTTCTTCTTGCAGGGTTCCAAGAGACACCTGACTGGCCCCTGTGAGAGCAGGGTGTTAGATTAGTTAAGCCACTGGACCTGATTCAGCAGGGCTCTTCCTAGGCTCACACAATGCTGCTTTGCCACCAGTTTTAATAATGTTTTGCAAACATCTCCGTAGTAATTCCCCCTCTGTCTTCCTTCCTCTCCCCACCCCCGCCTCCCCACGTTCTCCATTGTGATGCTGTGACATGAAGTTCAGTCTCTCTGCTCCCTTACATGGTATTGCTTTCCAACCAAATCTGTTTTGGGGAAGCTATTCTTAAAAGCAAGCTAGCAACCTTCTTAGCCCAGGGCCAGCCAAAAACAGTCCAGCATATTGAGGTGGAAAATCAAAACTGCGCAGCCCCACACCACGCCACATGCGCGTGTACACACAGCCCAATAGACATGTGGCAGGATCTTCCAGAAAGTTTTCCTCCATGGGCCCCACTGAAATAAATGAGAGCTGAGTCAAAGCATGGCTGAACTGCTCAGCTGCTTCTAAGGAAAATAAAAGCACTTAAGAGCTCGGGTTATAAAAATAATGCACAGCTCAAGCAATGTCAGCCCGGATCTTTTGTTTTAACACATAAAATGTCCTAAAGTGTGGGTGAAGAAAAAAGTCTTTGCCTATTTGCAGAAAGACAAAGGTGCCAAGCAGACCTATCTAGGGAGGCTATGCCATTGCCAGGATGCCACCACCAAGAAAGCCCTTTTGCTAGTGGTCACCTGCTTCAGATAACCTGCACTGAGCTTCTTGAAAAAATGGTGCAGAAACGGCAAGATTTTTAACTATGACTGGGCATTTTAGCCACATCACACCAGTGCTTTGTCAGTGACACTGGTTCCCAGTCTGTTTCCAAACCCAATTTAAAGGTAGATTTTCATTTTTAAATCCTCCATCACTTGGGACCAGGTTACCTGAAAGATCATTTTCTCCTGCACACGCCCACCCAAACATCTAAAGTAGTGGTTACCAGAGCATGGCTAACACTCTACTATGACTTAAACTAGTTTGATGGGGTTTGTTTATTTGAAAGAATTTTGGAACTGCTTAATATTTACAAACTGCTAAGCAGCGGGTTAAACCACCGAGCCTAGGACTTGCCGATCAGAAGGTCGGCGGTTTGAATCCCCGCGACGGGGTGAGCTCCCGTTGCTCAGTCCCTGCTCCTGCCAACCTAGCAGTTTGAAAGCACCTCAAAGTGCAAGTAGATAAATAGGTACTGCTCCAGCAGGAAGGTAAACGGCGTTTCTATGCACTGCTCTGGTTCGCCAGAAGCGGCTTAGTCATGCTGGCCACATGTCCTGGAAGTTGTAATGCCTGCTCCCTCGGCCAATAAAGTGAGATGAGCGCCGCAACCCCAGAGTCGGCCCCTACTGGACCTAATGGTCAGGGGTCCCTTTACCCTTTACCTTTAAGCAGCATACAAAAAATAACACAAAAGCAATAAAACAGTATCATTAAAAGCACAAAACAGGATTATAGAAACCGGAATTCAAAGATTAAAAGGTTCATAAGTTACAACACACGAAAAGCTTGGGCAAAAAACATCAGGGCTGTTTCACAAGATGTCCAAAGCAACTAACAGATGATGCTTCGCATAACAGAAGATGCTTCAGATGGATCTGCTAAAGAGCTGAACCTGGGACCCTGGTCATGCACAGAAGGTGCCCTGCCAACTGAACTATGGACCTTCTCCAAGGCCTACTCCTAAAGGCAGAGGCTCTCCGAGGTCACAGGCAGTGGTCCTACCCAGCCCTACTAACAGAGACCTCCTTAAGTGGAGATGCCAGTGACCAACCCTGAACCTTCCATGTGCCAAGCAGGTGCTCTACCACTGTGCTAGTGGGCCCTGACCTCCCTGCCTCCTACCCACTTACTCATTGTATGGTATGAAGGGTTCACATGCGCACCAGTTTTCAATACAGTTGCAGGCCCAATTCAAGTTGCTGGCTTTAACCTGGAAAGCCTCACACAGTCTATTGCACACAGCACAATATACATAAAGCCTTACAAGGCTGGGGACCCCAGTACTTGAAGGAACATTCATTTCCCCATAGAAGGCCCTAAAATCATCTCAAGAGGCCTGCCTCCAAGGGCCCATGCGCGCTGAAGATCGGGGGGTGGAGGCTGCAGCAGGAGAGGGCCTTTTGGGTGGTGGCTCACCACTTGTGAAATGCTCTCCCCAAGAGAGTGTGCCCACCTGGTGCCCACTTCCACATCTTTTTGGTGTCACCTAACATTTCTCCCAGGCCTTTTAATAAACCAGGCTTCATGTGTCAGTCACATTTGGATTGTTCAATTTGATGGAAATCATGTTTGCACTTGAGGTAGAGATTTCACTATTTGTCTTTCACAGTTGTTTTGCTCTATTTATTGTATATTCCATGCAGCATATACTAGATGTATTAATTTTACTGTTAAGTCTTCAGGGACTTCAGCATAAGGTGACTCAAACTTAGTAATAATACTAATTTGTTTTTATTTACTCAGCCTGTGCCCTGTACAGATTTCTGCCCCACAAAGACAATTATGGAATTGTAAGCAACAAACAGTCCCATTCATACTAGGCTAAATTCTACCTCCATTGTTGGGAGGAAATAAATAATAGTAATAATAAATATGCCTCAAAGTATCAGTTGCTGGCAATCACAGGTGGGGAGAGTGCTGTTGTGCTCAGATTCTGCTTCTGAGATACCCAAAGGCATATGCTTGGCCACTGTAAGAACAGGATGCTGGACTAGGTAGACCTCTGGCTTGATCCGGTCGGATTCAGCCACATCTGCAATTCTTAGTGACAATTATTATTCAGAGCAAAGCCATGGGGTCTGCAAGCAGAAGATTCCAGATTCAGTCTCTGGCATCTCCAAGAAAGACTAGGAATGTTCCCTTGTCTGAAAAGCTGAGGAGCCACTGTCAGTCAGTGTGGTCGGTACTGAGCTAGATGGACCAAGAGTGTGACTCAGTGCAAGACCCCTTCCCATGCTCACTTCCACATGGTCAATGCATGACAAATTAACAAAACCTCCATCACATATGCTCCACAGGACCACCTCTGCCTTCCTCACCTGGTTCTTCCCACGCCTCCGGTAGTTCCTTCTCACAAGGTTCTTATAGTTCTCATTCTTCTTGGTCAGGTAATAGTAGAGGACACAGTCGGCCACCGTCTACAATAACACAGGATAAGGGACAAGAGTGAAGGTGGATAACTGGAGGACTAGTTGTGTGCACATTGAGCAATGAAATGCATAAGCAGCAGCAGCAGCAGAAAGTTAGACCACAGAACAAAATATTTATTCTTCATTTGTACGTTTACAAACCACTTCACAATCAACAAAGTGGGGCATCATAAAATAAAATAAGATAAAATAAGTGTTGCATCTGCAGCCCTCTGAAATCAGTTACCAGATAAAATTAGGTAATCATTCTGACGATTTGGCATTTGTGGAAGATATTATTGTTTAAGAAGGCTTTCCCAGAAGTGTGACCCATTGTAAAAATGGTTTTATTGTTTTTCGTTAACTGATTTTGTAATCTGTTGTTTGCACTTAGCATATGTTATCTCATTAATCCCTTACACAACAACCTAGCAGGGTAGGTCAGTATCATTGTTTCCACGGTGAAGTTGGAGGGCTGAGATGGAGATAAGCAGCTTTCTGAAGGCTATCCCATGAGTTCATGGCAGAGGTTGAGATCTGAACCGGGAATGTTCCTGACAACTGATTACACTAGCACCATATCTGTGCTTTCAAACCCTTTCTCATTTTACTGTCATTTCCAACTACGCACAGATAAACCAGGATATAATATCACCATGCTGAGAAAAGTATGACCTCACATTTCAATTGGCATTATAGTATTGTGACACTGTTCCGTTATGCAGCAAATGTCAACAAGTCCCCATCTCAACTCCTTGATTGTAAATGCTAACATCCTTGTTTCAACTACAGGCCAAACGTTCTCCAGCAACTCCTCTTGCAAGGGTCAAGGTTCTGATTTCCAGTTCTGAGCTAACAGCGTGTTGAGATTCCTGTATTGTAGGGGTTGGACGAGATGACCCTCAGGGTACCTTCCAACTCTACAATTATTTGATTCTATAATAGAGCTTTTTCGACAATTACAAAACCCCTTTCCTTTGCTTGCTTTGCTTCACAGTCTGCTTTGACTATCTGCAAGATAGATGAGTGTCAGGGAAGTCCCAGCCATCCTATCCTATGGCCTGTGAAACCTCTGTGACACCCACTACCCTCTGTAACCAATACAGATTGTGGGCCATCCCACACAACACCACCCATCCTCCTCTGAGCAACAGCTACTTTCTGTTGCAACTTCCTCTGTCTGTCTGTCTGTCTGTCTGTCTGTCTGTCTGTCTGTCTCAGCTGATATGTGCAGAGGCAAAAGACATCTGGTTAGCCCGTTTCCTTTATTGAGAATCTTTCCCTACTCTCTCTCCCCCGCCCCCTCCCAGTTGGGGCCTCAAGTGGAGCCAAAGGTAGAGAATTAAAGGGGAGGAAGAAACTCTGCATTGAGAAATCACAATATAAAGTGTTAGAGAACTGATACATGCCCTTAAGTGAATTGCATCTCTGCATTCTGGCAGAGTTTTATTTCCAGGCATTATGGAAGACTGCACAGGAAAAGATGGAAGGACTGACCCCAGATGACTGGAGCAACTAAAAGCAAAAGGGGGAAAGGAGGGGGAGGAGTAGGAGAAGTCTATCATCCTTTAGCTTCAGTGGAACACTACATATAACCTGCCATACAACTGTCAGCAGCCATTATTTCCACCCATTAAGCTTGCAAGGTGGAACACACTTCACTTTCAGGCTGATGCATTCAGTTTCCCGCTTTCGGGAGCTGTCAACTGCATTCCAATCCCAGCGTGCTGAGGAAAGGGCAGGAAATCAGCTCCTCAGCGGTGTTTTGAGACTTGACAAGTTATATTTCAAGAGCAAAAAGGTTTCCCCATCCAGCTTGCTAGCAGATTAGCTCAAGACCCGGAGCTGCCCAAAGCAAGGCTTCTTAAAATGAAGCCACATGAAGTTATTGGGGGGGGGGGGCTTTGGATAAGGCCAAGTCACTGCGTTGCTCCACTGAGCTGCATAGGATATGACTGCACAGTGCATGTCTTGTAGTTCCTCCACTGGTGCAGCACCCCTCTCCCGCTTCAGCTCATGCCATAGGAGGCTTTGAACAAGAGTGGACGAATCTCAATTTTGGAATCGAGAACCACTGCCTCTCCCTTGAAACCACCATGGGGCACATAGGGATGGGAGCACAATTTGTTTGGTTAGGATCTTAATGCAAGTCTATGTAAGTTGCTCTTCTGAAATGCAGCCAGCCATCAAAACTCACACATGGCAATGCAGTTGTAACCCCCACCTCCCCAAAAAGCATGCAAAAAGAGGGGTATGCGCACCCAAAAACACACAGATTAGTGAAAATAATGTGCATTATATTAGGAAAATTGCTTTGCTAAAATGTGTAGTCTGTGGAGTCCGTAACCTGAAGCGTATGTAACCTGAAGCGTCTGTAACCCGAGGTACCACTGTAATAGGATAAACAAGTATAAAGCCACATTTGAATTTTATGTAGGCTTAAAAAATAAATAAATCACAAATACTCCAAACTGAATTTAATATTGGGAAAATAAGAAACGGAGAGATCTTTCCAGCCTCAAGCAACTTTACCAGCCCTTTGCCTTTCTTTGCCTCTTTCCTGTGTGACAGGATTGTGCCCCTCCCTGCTTGATTCAAAATGCTGTCATGCTCAGTTGCTATTCTGGGGAGGTCCACCTCCAAGCTAAATCATGCTTTTGGATCCTCTGAAGTGAATGCAAAACTGGTCTGTGTTGTACATACATACACACTTAATTTTATTGATATGCTGTGTTTCCATAGTTCATGCTTGAGGCAGATTACATGAAAAAAATATGTAAATACAAACTGTCAGGGCCGCCTCAGGTCCCAGCTCACAAGAGACCAACGCCAAGTCCACTTTATTTACAAAAGTCTTTATTGAAGTACATTGTTTGTTCCACAGCCGAGGCGCGCAGCCCCACGTCTGTTACGCTTAGACCGCTGAAGTCCCCTCTGAATCAGTCCCGCCTCTACACCAGTTTAAGAGGCTTGTGCTGGTCCACCTCTTCCTGTCCTTCCTTTTCCGCAGGGTCTTTCTGCCCCCTGGGTTCCTTCCCTCCTGCTTTCCCCTGACGCTGAGTCCCCAGACGCCTGCTCCCCCCTCCTCTGTGCTTTGGGACCAGGCTCCTCCTCCGGGCTCTCCGCATTTCCGTGTGCCTCCACATTTGAACTTGGCGCGCGTTCGCTACCCCTGACCTTCCTCTTGACAGTTATACTACTCTCTGTACTACTCTCCGCCCCTTCCGGCAGGAACGTCTTGCCCCGATCTCCTTCCCCTCTCTGCTTCCTGCTCTGCTTCGTCTGTCACACTGGGAACTCCACCCTCTTCACTCCGTTCCGGCGGGGAAGCCGGCCCGATCTCCAACTCCCACTCGGGGTTCCCTGCTGCTCCCCTGCTCCTGACGAGTCCCCCCTGTGGCTCCCCTTGGCCTGACCAGGGGCGCCCCCTTTTGGGAATCCTCCGATTCACTTGAGAGACTCATGGAAGCCCTCAAGTCATTGTCATCCTCCTCCTCCTCGTTCCTGGATTCTTCCCCCTCGCTCTCAGTCTCCTCCCTCATCTGTGCCTCTCTCCCTGAACCCCTGACAACAACATAACAAATGTAGTTGTAAACATTAAATAAAGAAACCAAAAATATACAACCAAACCCCCAAATCTCCACACAAATCTCATAAAGAAAGATATCTCTCTCTCTCTCTCTCTCTCTCTCTCTCTCTCTCTCACACACACACACACCCCATCATCATCATCATCATCATCATCAACAACAACAACAACAGTGAGAACTACCTCCCCCCAAAGCAATACCCCAGGCCCAATAGTCTGCTCAGCAGCCTCAGCTTTTGTAGCTGGAGTCAGTCTGGGCCCCACCCTCCCACTTCAGGTGAAAAAATGCCTGTGGGGGGAGAGCAGATCTTCCAGGACTCACAGCCAAGATGCAATCTAGATTGAACAATTTGGGCAAGAAAAAACTTTGCTTAAAAAGGAAACATAGGAAATGGGGGAGGAAGACTTACTTTCCGGTCCAAAAAGGAAGCGATGAGGCCAAAATTCTTTGGATGCTGCATGAACCTAGAAAACGGAAACAAGAGGGGCAGGGGGTGGAATTAAGAGGAATTATAAAGGGTGTTTCACTTGAAAATCCTGATTGATTTTGTTCAAAGAAACAAAGCAAAAACGTTTCTGTTTCCTGCTGGTCCATGTGCTGATCATAGGCCCTTGCTCAGCAGTGGTGAACTGTTGGCCAGTGGGTCTAATCAGACCCCCCACACCTTCCCATTTGATCCGGAAGGCCACTGCAGCCAAGCCACACTCACCTGCCTAACACCTGGTGTCATATATAGGTTTATCAGGTCTCTGCCTGTATAGTAAAAAATGGTTGTTGTTGTTGTTTTTGATGATGATGTGTGGGCTGATGTGCTGGCGTGTTGTTGGTAAGGGCACAGCTGTGCCAGAATGGAGTTTGCAGGCACTGCCAATCAGCTGAGTCAGCGCTTGCAAGGCTCTTTTACCCTTGCTCATGTGGTTTGATCTGAAACCACAAGGGCAGAAACGGGTCACTGATACAAACATCAAGTGATTGACAGGCGGGCGGTAGCCCCACCCACCTGTCAAACTTGGCCTGAAGATGTGGAGAAGATAATGCCTGGATCTGCTGCCCACTCCTGATGGTATTTGTTTTATTTTATGATTTCCATTTTTATCCCACCCTTCCTCAAGGGATTGCTGCTGTACTACCTAACACTGGTGTTAGGCTCTGGGAACGTGTGCAGCAAGTCCTGAACCAGGACGCCTGGCCACCAGGATTCCAGACAGTATCTCGTGGGCCTATAAGCCTGGCATACTAGCTTCTGGGCTTCAAGGGTGCCATCTAGGCCACAGGTTTAGTCAGCTGATCCCAAAGCCCAATCCCAGCGCACAAGAGCCCCGTATAGCCCAGGCCTCAGAGCTAACGCCTCATTTCAAGCACAATCAGGTCCTGCTTACAGGGCTTCCCAGAGGTCTCTGCTTGGCCACTGTGAGAACAGGATGCTGGACTAGACGGCCCTCTGGTCTGATCCAGTCGCAAGGATAGTCTTGTGACTTAACACATTGGTATAGTGAAGGGGAGGGACCACCATTCAGTGGAAGAGCATCTGTATTGCATGCAGAGCGTCCCAGGTTCATTCCCAGAATCTCCAGGTAAGGTTGGGAATGTTCCCTGCCCGAAACTCCGGGGAGCCACTGAGAGTCAGTGTAGACAATACTGAGCTCCAGTGCCAGCCAACTCCCAATGCTCATGCTGCCCCACAGTATCTTATCTCCTAATTGCTCCCTCAGAGCACCCTCTTCCCATGCGCTGGTCTTGAACCCACCCTTTTGTGCTTCAGAACTTGATCTTCTGCCCAGCGTGGACTATGGCCTCCTTCTGGACCTCATCTACTAATCTGCCTTCCTTGGAACCTGGCTTTGCCTGCTCTGGTCCCAGTTCCCACCTGCTGGGCTGACAGCCAGTTCCTCTGGGCCTTGGCACTTGACAGTCTGAGTCAGGCTGCTGCTGAGGCCCCTGGTGACTCCAGACAATGAGAAATAAGCCCTGCTCTAATCTACATAGTCCTGGCCTAGTTTCAGCGTCTTCGTCATGCTGGTGTGTGTGGCAGGATCTCAGCCATTCTAGATGAAGGTGGAATAACTTTGGTGACTAAGAAATTGTCTTTTCCACATCGGACTATAAACAGGTGTAGTACTAAATATAGCTGGACTGAAATTATGATATTAAGTGATGTATACTAGTTTACTGTATTTGGCAATTGAGACATATAACTGATGTAAAATCAATGTATTCATTTTATCCTGATATTATAGTTTTCATGTAAGTCCATATCAGGGGTGGCTAATTTGTTGGGTTCAAGAGCCACATTTGCTGTTGGTCAATCCTCTGAGGACCATGTGTCAGCAGTGAGCAGGGCCCAAGTCTGCACAGCCACACATGCTCACGCACGCACACAAACGCAGACACCTCTTTTTGTTTCTGGAGCATTCCAGCCTGTTAGCGGTGGTGTCTTGGAAGAGGGAAAAGAAGCATCAACAAATTTGTTGGGGGCAGATGGGCTACTTAAAGTTTGTAATAAAATTTTGTAATATAAAAATGTGGAAAACATTAGCATTCAGTGCAATATTTGTGCCCAAAAATGACTGGAACTCTTGAGAACTGTTTAGACCTTTTGTAATGGGTTTTATGGTGGGAAACAACTATTGCCATTGGACTGTTTTATCTATTACAGGGTTTTTGCACGTGCCTTCTGCTCATCCTTTCAGCAGAGGGGGCCCTTTCGGTAGTTCCACTACCTGCAGAAGTTCAGGGTTTGCCCAGCAAAGCACCTTCTCTGCGGAAGTCAGGGGTCAGCAAACTTTTTCTGCAGGGGGCCAGTCCACTGTCCCTCAGAACTTGTGGAGGGCTGGACTATTCTTAAAAACTAAAACAAAAAACCACGAATTCCTGTGCACACTGCGAGGGGGGCAAGAAGTCCTCCTCCCCACACCCCCCAGCCCCAGCCGCCTTCTGGGTTTGCCGCCTGACTCATTCACCAAAAGGCTGGCGGTGGTGGCGTGAAACGGGCTTCCTCCCCACCCAGAGAAAGAATAGATGAATAGATGTGACTACGAATGGGCCCCTCCTCAGCACAACTCACTTTTCTCGGAAGGTTTCTTTCTCCTGCTCGCTCCACATGTTCATCACCTGCCGATCTTTGTACACCTTCATGGGGTCGTCCATGAGGCCATTCATGTTAATGAACTTGATGCGTTGCTGCTCAGCATCGTACAGCATGGGAGGGATGACAGCAAGCTGGCGCATCTGTTTCTCCAGATTCTGGGCAGGGAAAGCAGAGGAAAACAGGTCGCACTGAGAGCACCAAAGGAAAACTGACCCAAGAATGAAGAAATGAAAGACCAACCTTCGCCAACCTGGTGCCCTCCAGGTGCTTCGGACTACAACTCCCATCAGCCTCAGTCAGCACAGGATTACAAAACACCTGGTAGGCACTAGGTTGGTGAAGACTGGTGTAGGTGCTGCACGAAAGAAAGGAAGTTATCAGGGAGAGGCCAGGAAGTGATGCACAACATTCAGTGTTGAGGAAAGCTGCTGCTGAGACCAAGAGAGACCCACTGCATCTTCTCTCTCCAAAAAGGAAAAGCTTCAGCATTAACTGAAAGATGCTGTCTGGATTGTAGCCCCTAATAGGCAAAGGGTTTTTGGTATACTAAAAAACAGACCATAAAATTTTTGATATTCCCATGCAAAAATGACAAAAAAATAGTTGGGGGGGGGGGAGGAAAGGGATAGGGTCGCGGACCCCCTGGGTGCTTTTTGCAGACCCCTAATTGGGAACCACTGGGCTAGAGGATAGACTGTGTGCCTAGGCCAGCAATTGTTTGTTGCTCTAGAGCTGGGGTGGTCAGCCTAATGCCCTCCCAATGTTGATGGGTTCCAACTCCTATCGTAAGTGACTGTGGTGGCTGGTGAGCATTGTAGTCCAACACCATCTAGAGGGCACCATGCTGGAGAACGCTGCTGTAGAGCCTCAGCTGTTTCAGCGTGAAACAATTCTCCCTAAGAATGCACATACAATATATAGGATTTATCACATTAGGCACACTTAGGGAAGACAGGACTGTCAATGGATATCAGTTATGACGGTTCTCTGGAACTCTCTATGTGTTCAGGATACTGGGGCTAGATAGATCTTTGCTCCAATCTGCTAGTGCCTTTTTATGTTCTGATGACAATAACTAGGGAAGGCACAACCTAATAACACTCTGACATTTTTATCTTGCTGATGCCCAGCAGAGTTCAAGGGAGCATCAGAATCCCAGAGGAAGGGGCACCTGACAAAGAAACAATTCAGGAGCCCCCTTTTAGAATGGCATCACTGAATCTCACCAGCAGTGATAGGTAGCATCAACTGGCAGACACCACAGAAGCTAACAGACCCAGGAGAGGGGAGAGAGAGAGAGAGAGAGAGAGAGAGAGAGAGAGAGAGAGAGAGAAGTCTCCCTAAGTCCCCGTTTAGGGTCCTGTCAAATCCATCAAGGCATCACATTCCCCAACACAAGACAGTGTTTGCTAAACACAGCTTGGGCTGAAGCTAATGCAATTTGGCAGCAGCGTCAACAGTGAGTTCCAACGCCAAGGTCTGTTGTGGCTGCACTGGTTTCCCCAGAGGAAAGGAAAGAGAAGAGAAGGAGAGAATGCAAAAGGAAGAAGAAAACGGTGACCCAGCCTCACCTCTTGTTCCGAGAGCCCATCAATAATTTCTGACACCTCGTGTTCGCTGCGTGCCGCAGACATGGAGAGGCCACTGCCCCTCTGTCCTACCCTGCTGGGAAACGGCAAAGAAAGCGCTGAAAGATTTATGCTCCATTTTGCACTTGGCAATGTATCTTCTTAACAATTACTGTGGCTGCTTGCGTGCGATGAAACAAGTGCCACGCAAAGAGTGGAGAGGTCAAAGCTGGGAAAGGTGGAACTTGTGTGTGTGTGTGTGTGTGTGTGTGTGTGTGTACACATGGCATGTGGCACAACAAGAGAAGAGCAAACTTTACTGATAACTCAGTCAAAGAATCAGAGAGCTGCCATGCAGATAAAACCAGCATTGAGGACTGGCTTCAGAGACTTTTTCAACATAGAGGTGATGGCACAATCACTGCCACAAGCTGACACCTATGCTGTGGCCACAAGTCTTGCACATGCCACAGTATGTATCCAGATCCAGCTCTTGCAACTGGAGCCACTGAGTGGGTGAAGGAGGCAGCGTGCTTGGAAAGCCAGTCTGGACTACATTGGCTCATCTGTGTGGGTTTGGAGGACTGAGACCATTGTATAGTCTCTGTGCTAAACCAGTGATTGCCAAATTCCTGAGCTTTCAGGAACCGGATCAGACCTTTCCCAGCCAAGGTGCTTGAGGACTACATCACCCTTGGCAACAGAATTCACTGCCACGAGATGCAGAGATGCCCACTAACTTAGGCGGCTTCAGAGAGGAGATCAGGCAAATTCACAGAAATACACCTATCAAGAGCCACCAGTTATGATGGGTGCACATGACCTCCCACAGAGAGAGTATGCCTCTGAGTACTAGTGGCTGGACTAATGGGAGCTGAGTGTGCTCTTGCCCTGAGGTCCTCCCTGTGGGCTTCCCAGAGGCATCTGGCTGGCTCTAGCCAGAACAGGATGCTGAACCAGCTGGGCCTTTGGCCTGATCCAGCAGTGCAATTCCTATGTCCATACAATAATATTTCCCCCTCTGGTTTTAATTAGAGGAAATTAAATATATTTATTTTATCTAGAGAGGATTTGGGGCAAGGTGGTGGTGGTAACTGAAGGGGAACCCAAATGGTTTGGTGCAGGGTCGACTGAGAAATTTATTGCGTATTTGATACTAACTTTTGTGTATCCTGTTTCAAACTTTAATAAAATTTATTGGGGGCGAAACAATTTATTTGTTGTTGTTTTAAAAGGAAAGTAACAGGGAGTAAACAAACTGAAAAAAATCAGATTTGGGTTCATCTGGGACATGTTGCAAATTAGCTAAAAAAATTATCTCAGGTGATTTGAACTAGAAATTAGTTGGCTTGACTTATTTGACATTTCCATTCTGAATTCACATCTATGTGCTTAATAGCATATTAAAATTCTATGCAAATTTCTGCTCATGGACTTCTTCCCCAAACCATTTTCGCGAGGCTGCTGCCTGGAGGCCAGCATTTTCCACACAAGGAGCTAGAGGAAAAGCCCCTTTTTACCACAAGACATTCCTCTCCACCAGAAACTGACATGCCATCTTCAGTGCCAAAGGAGTCTTAATGCACTCCTGCCAACACACACTTGAACACGTCTCCACTAACCTCTGCATGCGCTCTTGGAGTTCCCTCTGTTTCCTGATCTCTGGGAACTGCTTCTCATAATATTCACGTACTTTGCTTTCCTTTGCTCGGCGCCGGGGGTTGTTTTCTATGCGCTCCACTTTCTTTTCCCAGGCTTCCATAAGCTGGTCATAGCGCTGGCAAAATTTCTGTTCCTGAAACGGTGGGTTTTGTGGGGAGGGAGAAGGTGGGGGGAGAGGGAGAGAGAGAGGGGGAGAGAGATCAAAAATGGTCCCTTGTAAGTCCATTTCAAATACCTTCTCACACCTCAGCAGCAAGGTCTCAGAGGAAAATTAACAACGATTCTCAGTGCAAAGCCACAAAACTGAAGAACATGGCAAGGAAGATAAGCCATACAACAATCTCCTCATGTGCTCAGTATATGAAACAAATCTTTATCATTTAAGTTCTGGTGATAAATGCTTCTGGAAGGAGGGGGAGATGCTAACAAAATGTGCAGTCTAGGAACATCTAGTCACTGAGGAACAGGATGTGGCGAGGGTGGTAATCACCTGAGACAAAGATGATTGTACATTAGGCAGGTGAAGGTACATTAGGCAGATAGGACGGGGGAGCCCCAAATCCTGCCCCTTGAGCTTGAGATTTTATTCAGTTGAGCCAACTGATTAAAAGCTGCTGCCACAAAAGCATGAATGAGGATATAAATGGGTTTTGAGCCCAGACTTTTGGGAAATCCCCGAGAGCTTATCAAGGGGGTCCTTAAGGAGAAGATCAATGATAATAATAAATTATACGCCGCCCTTCCTCCCAAAAGAGCATGGGGCAGCAAACACACAAATGACAAAACACTTCAAACATATAAAAGTAATTCCAGTACATATGGAAACTAGGAAGGAGGTTTTTCAGAAGCCAAGGTCTCCAGGAGGTGCTGAAAAGACAACAGAGATGTCTAATGCTTAGGTGCCAACAAGCAGGTGCCGCAGCATTAAGGATCTGGTTCCTATTTTGTGAGGAACAGACTTCCTGATAAGGAGGACTTCCTGATCTGCAGGAGGCCCTCCACTGAAGAGTACAAATCATGGTGGTCAAACTAAAAAATGGTATGGCTGGAAAAGGGACAGAAAATAATCAAGGGCTTGAAGCAAATTCCCTATGAGGAAAGGTTGCAACTAAGTTCCTGAGTTGTAACGAGATTATTGTGACAACTGGGTGTTCACCCTGGGACATTTCCCAAACCGCTCTGTGGGGTCCTGGAAAAGACACCAAGGGCTTCCTCAGCAGGCAAAAGAGGGTGGCAAAAGTTCCTGGTAATTTTGAAAAGCACTGTGGTTTTAAGAAAACACACACACAATTAAACAAAACAGGTAAAAGGTAAAGGTAAAGGGACCCCTGACCTTTAGGTCCAGGCACAGCCGACTCTGGGGTTGCGGCGCTCATCTTGCTTTACTGGCCGAGGGAGCCGGCGTTTGTCCGCAGACAGCTTCCGGATCATGTGGCCAGCATGACTAAGCCGCTTCTGGCGAACCAGAGCAGTGCATGGAAACGCTGTTTACCTTCCCTATTTATCTACTTGCACTTTGATGTGCTTTCGAACTGCTAGGTTGGCAGGAGCAGGGACCGAGCAATGGGAGCTCACCCCATCACAGGGATTCGAACTGCCGACCTTCTGATCGGCAAGTCCTAGCCTCTGTGGTTTAACCCACAGCGCCACCCGCGTCCCAAAACAAAACAGGAACAACATATAAATAATGAAGTACATAGAAATGCTTGTCGTTTCTCGCCGACAGGTCTGCAAAAATGCTGTACAATACAGTTCCTTAAGTAGATAGAATGAGAGCAGGAACTTTTACCCCCCCCCTTTTACACACACTCAAACGTGAACAGGAGTATGACTCAGTTGGCAAGAGGCATGGGGGGGCTGAGCCTATTGTCCAGAACCCAAGAGGAAGGCACGCATTAAAAGCTGCATGAACTGGCAGGCTTCCATGCCCCCCCCCTGCTGCCGCCCCAAAAAGACTGAAGGGGGGAAGGAGGAACCAAGAATGTTCAGAGAGTCCCTGCAGTAATCCTCTTAGGCCTCCTGGAATTACTCTGGTCTATTGTGTACTGCAAAAGCATGGCCGAAGCTCTCTAACGGTGAAGAAAAGCATGCGAAATCCATCTGACGAGAAGGCCACAGCCATTTCCTGTCAAGCTTGAGCCTCTGTACTGCAGTCTTCACTGCACAGGCCCATCCTTAAGGACTGCCTGGAAGTTTCCAGGTTGATTCCCCTCACCTTTATCATGGATGGTTTGAGGCCAGTGTTCCTGAGAGGCCATTCTTCCCCTCACAGCTTCCATAGAGGTGCTGCTTTTTAACCTTGAGTGGCTCAAGCCTTACATTCCTGAGAGACCACTGTTCCCTTCACAATTTCTACTGTCTGTGCCAAATAAATAAAACAGCTTTCCACATGGCAAGCACTCAATGGCCTGGGCACGCAGATTGGCATTTTCTCCTTAGGTGCTTCTTGTCACTCATATCTTTTCCTGCTCCTTTTCCATGGCCAACAGCAATATGCTTTGAATGCCAATTGCCGGAAACTGCAGGAGAGCACGGCTGCACTCAGGTCTTGCTTGCGGGCTTCCAATAGGCATCTGGTTCACTGTATGGAAGGCTAGATGGGCCACTGGCCTGATCTAGCAGGCTTCCCTTAACTTCTTATATTCCTTTGGCCAGAGTTCCTATTATGCTAGGTGTGGATAAACCTCTGCAGGTGGCAGATTGGGAAGATGTATGGGTCCACTCATGGGGATATTATGGAAAATCTGACCCACAGGGCAAACTCCATTGTGAAGTTCACCAGAGGACACCTTGCCAAAGGCACAACTTGTATGCTGTCTGCGTAACCACACGGAGGTCAAAACAGTCTCAAAACTCCCATCATCCCTGACCACTGCGCACGTTAGCAGGAGCTGATGGGAACTGGGAGTCCAGTAACACCTGGGAGGGTCACCGGTTCTCTGCCTGCCATAAAGAAACAAAGACCAGATTGACAGCAACTCACAGAGCAGCACAGGGCAGGATTAGTCACTATAGCCCCAAATGCCCAGGTAGGAAAGTTTGGCCTGCCCAAAATGAAACAAGCAGCACTTGGTCATTTCTCTGCTTCATAGCCCTAGTGATAAAGTGCCTGTATTTGAAATAGGGGTGGTTTCTTTGCAAAACAAAGTCAAGCCTTTCATTTTAGCAACAGCTTAGTGGCTTCTTGAAACAGGTCTAGATCCAGCCAAGAACAAAGTGCTGCTCTGCTTCAGCTGTGCTTGATGCCCAGCCAGGAAAAGAAATATAAAGAGATTCAAGTTCGAGCTCCCAATTAATCCGGCTGAGGATTCAGTCACTTTAGCTTCTGTTTAGCTCAGTACCTTGAAACACCAAGCATCCATCTGACAAAACGAGTGTTCCAGCCAAACAGCATCTCCTCTGCTAACTAGTTAAGCTCTGAACTGTAATCCCTTTAGAATGATGATTTCAAAATAACTTCCAAAGAGCTTTAGAAGTAGCGGCAGAAAGTGGAGCAGACCCCAGTTATTCATCTTGTCAAAACATTTAAGATACTGGCATGACTCAGTCAGTACTGCTAGGATCTATGAGTAAAAGGCTGCAAGGACCTGGCCAGATTCTTCAGAAGCTGTACCCAGATCTAGGCTTAAGAACACAAGAAGAGTCCTACTGCATCATCCAGCCCAGCATCCAATTCTTACAATGGCCAAGCAGATGCCTATAGGAAGCCTGCAAGGAGAACCTCAGTACAACAGTGCTTTCTCCTCTTGTGATTCCCAGGAACTGGCATTCAGAGGCACAGTGCAACCGTGGAGGCAGAGCATACCTATTGTGGCCAGGAGCCACCGATGGCTTGAAGGGTTCGGAGAAACTGAAAGCCGAAGGAACTCTAAACAGGTGGCAGCTGGGGCCTTAAGCACAGGCGGCAAAGGGTCCTACTCAGCTGACCAGGCAACCCCCCTGCAATTTAACCCAGGGATGACCAATCCAAAGACATCATGTTGCCTGCCAATCACACAGGCTGAATCCAGAACACGAACAAGGTTCTGGGTAGCTCGCCAAGGAGGGTGCCTCCCCACAAACTAGCAGTGTAAACAGAAAATTGGGGGGGGGGAATCATTTGCATGGACTGCTGACCTAATGGCCCCACTTTATTCTCCCGCTAGCAGTGCTCATTTATAGCACCAACTCCTTCCAGTTTTAGCTATGCCCCTTCCTTAAACACTTAATTGAAATACAGTCTGGTTATTTCAAAAAAGCAAAACTCCCCTCCCCCTGCTTTCTCTACCTGTCCATTTCCCCTCGTCCTCTCCATCTCCTTCCTCTGACCTGCTCTGCATCAGACTTCCTTCCCCAGGGATCAACTTTGGCTACCACCTACTTCTTTCCTAAGCACTCTTCTCCCCTGCAGATCAACACATCTCAGTGCCACAGTGGGGGTGAAGCTGCATCCTCCAGGATCTGCATACATGAGTTGCCAATAGACTATGTAACTCCATCCTGGATATGTTTGTTTTTTAAAGGAGTCCCACAGAAGCCAATGGGGCATCACTTACCCACTGCTTGCGAGCATGATTTCTCCTCTTGAAGTATAAGATCAACTTCTTCCGCATTGCCTGGTTTCTGCGTAGGAGAAGAAAAGGTAAGATTCTGTTAAAGTGCCTCTCTCTCCTTCTCCTTCTCCCTCTCCATCTCTCTCTCGCACACACACAGTTTTAGCATCAGTCTACAAGGTAATTGTTCACACTGAGTTTTCTCCATGGCATGATCCTCAAGAGGCACATACATGCTTCCAAACCATGCAGAGAAGGTTCCAGCAGCATTTTCTCTGGTCCACGTTTTAAACAGCTGCAGAAGTTTAACTGAGCACCTACAGGTACCTGTCACATGCAAATTGCTTATATAGACGGGTCACACAAAGGTGGGAAAAAACACAAGTCCTTTGGAATTACAGACAACCTGAAGAAAATTTCCCAGCACAACTTCAGTGTTATTATTTTTATTATTTATTAAATTTGCATACCACCCTTCATCCGTAGATCTCAGGGCAGTTTACAAGATGTTGATGGATAACTGAACCCAACAGAGTACAAAAGGCTATTTGAATGAAGTTCTTTTTGCAGGAACTTCATTGAGCAGCTACAACAGAAGTCTACATCTACACTATGGTTTTGAAGGAACTGCTGTGTACCTCTACACCACAAACTTGCATTACTACAATAATTATTGATATATTATACACACACATAAAATATAGTGCATAGAACCTATAAAACACAAAATATATTCACATTTTAAATTGATGAATATAATTCTTACACAGTATAACAAACAACTGCTATATATTACTTTTATATAATAACTTAGATAAACTGTCATTCATAGAATCATGGGAATAGTAGCATTTTCAGGAGAGCAAAATTAGGATTCTCTAACAACACTCTCAGCAAACTACCATTACCAGAAATCTTTAGGGGAAGCTAAGACAGCTGAACTGGTATAAAACAAGCACATATTTAAAGTGAAGACAAGCCGCAGATATTTGCATGTGACCAAAATTTTGCCTGGTCAATCCTCACATAAATCTAAATCTCTTTGTGCTGAAGGCAGTGCAACCCATTTGCCTTCAATGCCACTCAGGAATCAGCTGGTGCAACCCAAGAATAAGTGTGCCTCCAAGCAGATGACCGTGCAAGCGAGCAAAGTTACGTGCTGCAATAGCCCTTTAGATTCCCTGTGACTTTGCTTAATTGACTGAGCTCTGAAAATCATCAGGCCAACCTGGGGCATATGAGTTTTCAGTTGCGGGCCGGAGACCATCCGATCAAAATCTACCTTTCCTAAGTTTGCTATCTGTTGCCACAGCTGTGTGACTCTCACCAAAGCTGAGCCCACTCCAAGCCTCCCTTTGTGCCCTAGTAGACTCAAACGATTAGCCAGGACAGGTACATACACTACTTTGTGGAAGTGGCCTTTTTTTAACCAGCTACATGAGGTGACAAGCTAACACCAGGTTCCCAAACAATGGCCATATTGAGCCCCATTTTCTCCAGTTTGGCTGCAAAGGCTTTGATGTAAAAATAGGACACAATTTCCAAGGTATTGCTTGGCAGGGTAGCAGCTTCCTCCTTTCAACTGGAGAACAGGAGCTGACCCTCTGAATCAAAAACCCCTCTACCCCATAAGCAAAAAGCAACAGCAGAGGGAGAGCCCTCTGTGGTTAACCCAATTACAGGCAGCAAGAAGAGCAAGAGAAGAAGCAGATCCACCATTAAACAATTCCATTACAAAGCAGTCTGTTCCGTTTTGATCTGGTATGCTTAAAAACAACAACAGAACATCACCCCTCCGCTGCTGTTTGGAACAGCATCTGCCTCTGCAATTTAATTAAGTACCACAATGCTTCATCTTGATTTATTTTACATGCATGTTTCTAGGTCTCATGGTGGGAGCAACAAACAAGCTTTTCGGGGGGGGGGGAACAACTGTGAGTCACTGAATGCTAAACAACAGCAGTACGGCAATGCCCACAAGCCCGTCCCTATAAACTTCGTGCTTGTTGCCCTGGGTTCCTTCAGTAGGAAGGCCAGAATAAAAACTTGAATTGCTAGTAACAACAACAGTAACGCCTCTGAAGATGGTTTAGAAACTTCAGCTGGTGTAGAATTTGGTAGCCAGGTGTGCCTCACTGTGGTAAGATGGCTTGAGCGCATTACACTGATGCTGGTCTGGCTGCACTGGCTGCCCATTAGTTTCTGGGCCCAACTCAAAGTGTTGATTTTGACCTATAAAGTCTTAAATAGCTTAGGACCACCTCTTCCTATATGAACTGACCGGGACCTGAGATCAACATCTGATACTCTTCTACGTGTGCCTCCTCCACGAGAGGTCCAGAGGGTGAGAACATGAGGACGGGCCTTTTCTGTGATGGCACGCCCACATTGGAATGTCTCCCCAAGGAGGCTCAACTGGCACCTTCATTACATCTCTTTAGGCGCTGGGTGAAAACACTCCTCTTCAACTAGGCCTTTGGCTAGTCAACAACCTATAGCCTTTTAAATGTGCTTGTGGGAGGGGTGGGGGGAGGGGTGCTAATGGTTTGTTTTCCTTCTTGTTTTTATTATGTATTTTGTTTGTGTTTTTATATTATATTGCTATGCTGTGAACCACCCTGAGATCTTCAGATGAAGTGTGGCATACAAATTTATTAAATAAAAATAAAACAAAACCAGTAGGAACAACAAACATAAAATAAATGGCAGATCTTTAGGTCTGGGCAACCAGCCTCTGGACCCCAGGCTTAGTTCTTGGTATCATGCAGTGGTTTGGGGAGATAAACTGAATGTCCCAGGTTCGAGCCTCAGCCCAGATAGCAACTTACTCAGTGAGTTAGAAAAACCATTAAATTTCAGCTACACCCCCCCAAACACATGAGAATAATAACAACACCCTATTCTGCAGGGCTCTCATAAGAATAACAGACGTTATCTTTATAAAGCACTTTGAGAAAGTGCTACGTATATACTAAGTGTAGAACCAAAATGGTGCAGCACAAGGCTGGAGGATCTCAAGTCAGGGTCAGAGGCAGCCTGCTAGGGCCTCCCCATTTCGCCTGTGAGGTCATTTTGGTGGAAGTCATGCTCACCCATTCTACACTTGCTGCCATATATGGGGCAGATAAGAGCAACACTTCAAAGGAACAATCAGGAGCTTAATTTCCCCGTTGTTGCTCTGCAGGAGCAAGGCACACTCCCACTTCCCTCTCCCAGCATTGCTCTTTGAAGCAGCTTCTCACTGCTCCTTTAAACTTATGAGAATCATGAGTTTAATGGAACACCACAAAGCAGCTTCCCCAAATCTTTCAAACAGACCTGCACTGCTCCTTTAAATCTCCAATTTTCCCACCCTGTGCTTTGAAGTCCCAACAAATGGGGCTTCAAAGCACAGCATACCCAATGTCAGGTGATTGACAGATAGGTGACCCCTCCCACCTGCCAAATTTAGCTAACCAGGAGTGGGGAGCCTCAACTCAGCCAGAAAGCTCATCAAGTGACTTTTTCCAGTCGCCACCTCTCAACCAAACATATCTCACAGTGTTGTTGTGAGTACAAAATGGTTGGGAAACTACTTTGAAAAAGTGTAGTACAAAATGCAATAAGTAAATAAGAATTCATTATGAGGCAACTAATAAACATCAAATTAAATGACAACTTATTTGTTTAAGGGGTGTTTATCCTAATAATAGGTGTTCATGGAGAGCCAACCCAGTTTAACACCCTATATACCATTGTGGTTGAATATTTTTGTGAAAGTTAATTGCTCAGCAGATCCTATTCCCATCTTGTTTTCATCACTAGGTGTGTTAGAGTGTCAGACTCAGTCCTTGAATGCCAGGGTTCAAATCCCCACTCAGCTGTGACACTCACTGAGTGACTTTGGTCCGGTCACTGTTTCTCGGCCAGACCCACCTTACACGCTTGTGGTGAGGATAAAATGAAGGAGAAAGTCAAGTACACCCCTTTGAGCACCTTGGCAAAAGGTGGGATATAAATGTAGTAATACATAAGATGAATAAGAAAACCCCATTGGAATTGTGCAAAAACCACAAAGCAACAACCCAATTAAGCACTTGGTGCAATGAGGCAACAGCAAAGGTGAGGCTCCTCCTGTTCTGTCCTCATTAAGGACGGTGGTAAGTCATCTGTGAAGGGCCTTCCCACATGTGCTAAAGGTACCACACCATAAATCAAACCCCTGAGGTTAAGGAGAAGGGTTTCTGGTGCTCTTTACATGCACAAGGGAGCAGCTCCAAAAGTGGGGGGGGGGGCAGAGAGAAAAAGACAGCAGGAGAGGGAGTAGAAGACCATCCCAGCAGCCTCACCTTCTCCCTTCTGGGTAAGACAGCTGAAATAAGTCAATAACAATCTTTTTCAAAAGCCTTGGGAACTGCTGGCCCAATCCGAGAGCAATGCAGGAGACCAGGAAGCCGTAACACAGAAGACTCCAAGCACATCAAAAGGGCTTGAAAGAACAGAGATGCTTTACAATACCTGCCTCAATTATTCAGTTTTGCTGGACCCCCAAGGAGGTTAATATGGAGGAGTGAGCGAAGCTGAGCTGGCTCTGTGCATTTGCAAAGGCAGCAAAGAGTTTCGAAAGCTGCAAAGCGTTTACAAAGGGGCTGGGCTGTCTTGGTTTCCTTACCTTCTGCACCCCACCACGCCTTGTGCGAGGGAGGGGGAACTCTGCGGATCCCACTCCGCTTCAAAAGGCTCCTGTGAGCACTGGTGTGCTTCGCAGCCAGTCCTCGCTACGTGCCACTGCCGTTACTTAGAAACCGTTTGCGAGAAGGTTAATTCGGGCCATGTATCGGAGGAAGCACATGTCGCGGTCCCTGGAGGCATAGCAAGCAAGCGAGGCTGCAGAATTTCTGCAGCGCAGCCGGCAGAAGGTAAAGAACTGACACACACCAGTGGGAGAGGCGCTCAGCGACTGCAAACAGCACTTTAGAAAGGTCAGAACTGCAACACGCCATCACCTCCCCAGCAACGATCTTCTAACTGTTTACATCGATTAAAAGGGAAGGAAAATCAGAGATGGCAGAAGCGCTGGGGAGTCCTAGA